ACTCATTAAAGAGAGTGCTAAAAACTCTCTTATTTTTCCAATTTTGATTACAAATAAAAATATTTAAATTAAAATTATTACTTATTATTATTATATATCTAAACCAAGTGAAGTATAAATTTGGCATTTTATAAGGTAAGTAAATTGTATATATTGTTTTGCACGTTTTTCGATTCTAACCTATATGGAAGGTAGACTTTGAACCTCTAATTTTATGATCGAGATTACATATTTATGTCAATTAAATTATAATTTTAGAGTATTTTTGAAATTATTAAAATTAGTTTGATCGTAGTGAAAGTCACTTTAAAATATATTTTTAATTAATCATAATTAATTTTTATAGTAAAAAGATTGAATCAAAATTTTGTAGATTTCGAGACCGGAGTATTCACGAATGCATCACTGCGTACATCCGAACATAATTTAATAGATAAGAGATCAATTATATTCATAAAAATCAATTCTTCGATCCTCGTCGATTAATGGTTGAACTGTTCTCATACATTTATATATCTTTTTCTATGAACAGGTAATGAATATCGAAATTATACACGAAGGATCCTTAAATTTTGGTTGTTCTTAAAGGAAAAGCTCAATAATTTCTGGGTTGGATGTTTCTCGAATTGCAATGTTCATCAATTGAGGATCTGATTCATTTTAGTTCCTAAAAAAATCAAAGAACATAGAAGAAATGAAGATCACAACCACAAAACCCTCATTAATTGCTCTTTATTTCAGCAAAGAAACTGACATTACCCTTCCATTTCAAACCATGAACAAACTTTCGACTTTTTGATTCGAGATCAGGTTGATCCAAACACATTCAAACCGGCCCCTTCTCAGTTTCTTCGTTGTAGAAGCTATGAACCTTAAACCCTAAACTCTAAATCGAGTCTTTCGAGCCTCGTATCTCTTACACCATAACGTCTTGCTCTCAATCGAAAACTTGGCTTCTTCTTTTCCTCCTAGAATTATTGCTGGTATTGAAGATGCAACAAATACCACCTTCCCAAACAATGGCAATTGAGTCCCTCCGTCCGGATAATGCACGTATACCCTTTCGATGCACGACCCGTATTTTCTGTTTAGATCAATTAAAAGCAAAGAAGATTCAATAACGAAACGAAATCGAAATAACGAGAGCTTCGTTTTTCGTTCGCCCTAAAACTCTATTTTGTTGATAGATCGGTTAAAAAGTTCAAATCTTTTTAAAATCCCTTAAATTCTATCCACCCCTCCTTACAAAAACTTCTAGAGAACACCCTCTCGTGAACAGAACACTACAAGAAATAATAGATACGATAGTTTATGAAAGAAGGTTAGAAAGGGCGTACCGAGTGAAGAAGTTAACAATTTGGTGCTCGGAGAGCGGGTTTCCATTGGAGAAAGTGAGAAAGAGGCAGCGATCTTCCTCGGGAGCGCAATCGAAAAGAGGGTTCCATTCTTTGGCCTGAGGGTTCAGTGTGTGTGTCTGTGGAGAGAAAATGAAGCAAAAACTGTGGACTTTGAAGAGGAAAAGCAAGAGATTGAGAAGAACTTATAGAAATGAAAGAATACGACTGTTGGGAGAATTGAGCCAATGCTGAAATGGAAACAACAAGCGGTCACAATGTAACAGTTTAAGGTTTGTTTGTCATAAAGTTTAAGGTTTTTGTGTCTGTCTGTCCCTTGCATGCTATGTCTGTCTTTAGGCATCATCACATTCTCCATTAATTAATTAATTACTCAATTAATTTGCTTTCTTTTCTTATCACTTTTATTCATTTCCTTTTAGGGTTTTATTGGATCATCCTTGGAGAGATATCATGTTTAAGTCACAGTTGAGCTATGTTCATATTCCGTGTTTATCTGATCCTTTTTTGCTTAAATCAGTTGAGCTATGATCATGTTTCGTTTCTCTAATTCTTTCTTTTTTCTTGAGCTATATTCGTGTTTGATTTCCGTGTCTTGATTTAGATAGGTTGTGTGAGGAGTAATGGCATGGATGACCATAAATAACTCTTGTGTTCGTCTGTTTTTATCCCTCGTTAGGTAATGTATTTGTTTTGTCTATATCGGATTATCAAAGATACTTACCAATGGTAATTCTTCTAGTTTTATTTGTTTCATTAATCATATATTTTTAATTGCTTTCAACACCATAATGTTACGACACATGTACCGATTTTGTTAAAGTTTACTATTAAAAAATGTATAATTATGATTTAAATTTTAATTTATTAGAAAAAGGTTTCCACATCCTAAATGATTTAAATCGATGTGAGATCTCACAATCTATCCTGTGAGAGTCAATGTTATCGCTAGTACATCACCCAGTGTCTAACTTTGATATCATTTATATAATCGTCAAAGCTCATCGTTAGTCGATATTGTCCACTTTTGCCCGTTTTGTATATTTATTTTTTTAAGATCAAATGTTGAAAATCTCGCACTTATAACATAAACTTACAAAATAATTATCTTGATATGATTTTTTATCAAATGTTGAAAATCTCGCACTTATAACATAAACTTACAAAATAATTATCTTGATATGATTTTTTTTTTTATTTAAAATATATGCTTTAATTATTTTTTTAGTACTGTCTTAACTAATTAAACTATATACTCGTGAGATATTAATATGACTATGATTTTGATATCATTTATATGATAGTGCATTTTCTTTTGTCATTACAAACGATAAAATGGCAAGTTATTCATTTTAGCATATAATAATAATATCTACGAAAGTTATTATTGTCATAAAAAGAAAATTTTAATTTGTTCATATCCTAAATAAATAAATATATATATATATATATTTTGCAATTAGCTGATACAAGCTAATTTGCCATAAAAGGCAATATTAATTTTTATTACTAATGTACGTATTTGATACTCTTTAGGGTGTTGAATTGGGTTGGAAAAATATTTTGAACAAACCGAAAATTTTTTAGATTGATTGAGTTGGAGACTCGAGCAACCCAAATAGAGTTTACAATTCAACTCAATGATTGAATGGGATTGTCGGGTTATTTTTTTAATTATTTAAAAAAATAACATGTTATATTAATAATTAAAATCTCATGAAGTTCAAATATCAAACATTTACAAGTTACAATATATCACTAACATTAGTTACAAACGTTAAATGTCCTTTAACTTTTTTAAGAGTAGGGTAGAGTTGGGATGTATTATTTTTTTTATTTTTTTTTTTCGGATGGTGGCGTTGACTTGACCAAAAAAATTGTCAACCCACAAACTGAACTGAATTTTCAATTTTTCAAAAAATTTAACTCAACACAAACTAAAAAGAAAATCTAACTGAATCCAACGTTTATAGTTTGAGTTGGATAATCCGAGTTCGTCGAACTACCGAGGACGCTCCTATTTTGATCTCCAACGAATGTAACAAGCTTCCTCCTTTCATTCAAATTTTGGAACGACGGTCAAAACTCGTTGGATATAAAAAGATTAATAATCATACCAACATTATTTTCTTTTGTCAAAATAAAATTTAGATTATTTCAATTTAATTAATTAACACGAACATAATTCACCGGATTAAACTATTAAGAAGTTAGGAAGTAAAATAATATTGGAATTAAGATTGTTATGAATCTAACGTGTATAGTGGATAAATATAATTTTTTTAAATAATAATTAAAAAAGGAACAACTCGACATTCTAGTCCAATCCAACTCAACTTGAAAATAAATGGCTTGATTGAATTGAGTTGGAAACTCTATTTGTTTGGGTTGATCATGTTATTAATTCAATCCATTATAAAATTTTCCGACTCAATCTACGTATACCTTCGATCTAAATTTAAATGGTGTAATTATTTGGAAAAATGATTACAATATATTGTATTTACATTATTTTTATTTCTAGATATGGTATATATATATATATGTGTGTATATGTCAACCAATTTTTATAGTGCTTTCGAAATAAAATTTTATTAATAATTTTCGTCTCCAATTCACCATCTTTTTAATTTTTGTTTTAGAAATTAAAGGCAGATTTGATTATTTTTTTTAAATAATAAAAAATAAAAAGAGAGAAAAAAAACAAAAAACAAAATGATTAATTGAATAAAAGTAAAATTAAAAAGAAAATAGGAAAATAGGAAAAAAAAAGGAAAAGAATTTGAAAGCAATAATAATTGAAATGAGAGCATCTTGCATGCACAAAGGGAGAGGCCAACTAGGATTATTTAAAATCCACTTGGGCAACCAAGTTGGTTGTTTTTGGATTATTTGCTTTATTTTATTTAATTTTTCCCAATGTTTTGCATGGCCATGGCCTTTTACTTTTAATACAAGTTTGGATTATTTGTTTAATTTTAAATAATTTCTATTATTTTTCCAATAAATATTCGGACCCAGTCCTTCTGTACTCTTATTCTTTCTTTTCCTTCACTCAACGCACTTATATGATATCTATAGTTTGAAAAAAAAAAGTCACAAGAATTTAGTCCATATGATTCTATATGCTAGTATTAGTTTTTATGAGTTAATAACACTATTAAAAAATTATTTATGAATATTTTTATTGTAAATACGAAATTCTAATTAGGAGTGTACATGATTGGTTGGGTTGGTGACCCGAACAATTTAAATAGAGTTCACAACTTACTTAAAAATGGGTTGTTCTCGTTCTTTTTCTTTTATAAAATTATTTCAAAATATTTTACTTATTCATAATATAGGTTATCTATCAAACATTTACCAGTCACAAATTATCACTAAAATTAGTTATAAGAGTAGGATTGGGTTGGATTGAAATTGACCCAAATCAAGAAAAATATCGACCCAAAAGCCTAATGGAATTTTTGATTCTCAAAAGATTCAACCCAACCCAAATGAAAAAAAAAAAAAGAAATCTAATCCATTACTTGAAATTTGATAGTATGAGTTGGTCGAGTTATTATCAATTTAAAAAAAAAAAGAAAAGAAAAGAAATAATGAGAAAAATTATGGAAAACAAAAACAAAAACAAAAAGTGTGCTGTCGTATGAAAGTAAACATGAAAATGGCTTAAAGAAATAAAAAGGGTCATATTTGTTGTACCAAATGATACTTAACCACACAAGGCTTTGGCTTTGCCTTCGCCTTTGCCCCTCTCACCATCATCGAATGATGGAACCATTTTTCAATTACATTGAAGCATCTGATGCGAAAGCAACCATCATTTGCAGCTCTTCCTCTGTCGCAACAAGCCATGGAAATGGACACATCTCTGGCAACAGAAAACAGAGCGCCTCTGAGGAAGAAGATAAGAGCCACCATAATATGTTCAGAGGAGTTCGAAAACGAAACTGGGGCAAATGGGTTTCCGAGATTCGAGAGCCACCATAATATGTTCAGAGGAGTTCGAAAACGAAACTGGGGCAAATGGGTTTCCGAGATTCGGGAGCCAAGAAAGAAGACCAGGATTTGGCTTGGAACTTACCCAACCGCCGAAATGGCAGCGCGAGCCCACGACGCCGCCGCGCTGGCCATAAAGGGTCACTCTGCATTTCTCAATTTCCCTGAATTGGCTCGGTTCCTTCCTCGCCCACTCTCCAAGTCCCATAAGGACATTCAGGCCGCGGCGGCGCAGGCGGCTGCCACCACATTTTCGGAGCGAAACAACCGTGAGGATGAAGGAAGGGAAGCGGCGGAGAACATGGAGACTCTGTTTTCTGGTAGCGACGGCGGAGAAAGAGCAGAGGACTCCACGAACTCCCCGTCGACGGCCGCCAGTGATGAGACATTATTCGATTTGCCCGATCTGTTCGTCGGAAGTTCTGATTTGAAAGATGGGTTTCTTTGTCATTCTTCGTTATGGCAGTTTTGTGCGGCGGCCGATCATTCTGGTTTCCGGCTGGAAGAGCCTTCGTTTTGGGAGCCCATTTAAGTTCAAACTTTGTCCTCATCTTTCACTGTCTGATATAATTCCTCCATTATAATTCTGTTTCCAATGGTGATGTATTTTGGTTCTAATAAAGAAATGAGTAACAGATTGAAAATAATTTTCACTCACTATTGGCTGTTGCAGATAAATCCCAAAATGATCATAATGTTTATGTTTTGGATTGTTCTAAAAGAACAGATTTGAAGTACAAATCATCGCTCTGTAATTTCCTCCTACATTTTCTTTTTATTTAACTCTTCATTTTATGTATGTCAATTTGAACTTGTTCGTTCGGTTCAATTACAACCTTATAATGCAATCGCATCCTCGGGCCCAATTGCTGTTTTTGTTTCTGTATTCTTGATTTATCCAAGAGGTTCTTTGCACCTAGTTTTGGATTCATCCTCTGTTTTCAAGGATTTCATAATTGGACATTGAACTGAATCAAATATACCTTTAAACATTAATTAGTGTTGCATCCATTTAGCTACTACCCCAGAATTTATGCATTCTAAAGTTAAACGATGGAGAGATTTCATAAACCCACTAAAAAATATTGAGCTCAACTTCAACACGTATTAGTTAAGAAACTCCAAACTCAGATCTTTTGGTCGATTCTATATACGTATATATAAATTGATGAAGTTTAAAACATTATCTTCTGTCGAGATTTTTTAAGAGGATCAAATAAAGAATACAAGTTCATGACATCAAGGCTGCTGGCTGCTATAAAAATCAGAGAGAGAGAGTAGTTGAATTACCATCATCCAACAACTAGCAAACAGAGAGAAGCATCAATTTTTTAAGAAAGAATTCTAACTTATTCTGTTCATAACACGAGACATGTTTTCAATTCACAAGGTTTGGTGGTTAGTGGCCTTATTCATCTTGTCTCACCATCATTATAACCTCTTTATAATATTCCAAATAGCCATCATTTTCTTTAGCTTTTGGCCAAAGTTTAAAGGATGAGAGAACCCTTGGCCACAAGAGAAGTACTTCAAGAGAAGAAATGGTCCTGTTTAATTATTGGGCAGTTTTCCTTTACTAAAAAAAGGAGGATTTAATTAACGGTACTCCATTGCTAAACTGCACCACTAATGTTTTCTAATCTAATAATAATTAGAATATGACAAAAGTAACGACAAGAAGAAAATCAGATTATGAATAATACAATCATTGAAATACCTTGCAAATGGCGTTACTTCAACAGCTAGCTAGTTGACATCAATATTGTCTTTATTGAAATCTGCTCCACAGCCAAAAACCAGGATCACCATTCATCTCATCATTAGCCTAATGTTTAGTCTGCATCAGATCAACACAATTGCAATGGTGAGATCAGTTTCTAAGATGGGAAATGAACAAAAGAAAGTAAGAAGCTGAAAAGAAAAAAGAAAGAAAGAAAGAACTGTCCAATAACATGTAGATTTAGCCAAAAAGAATTCTGGGCTCTGCACCAACTGAAAAGGAGAGAAAAAAAACATACCCTAAGTAGTAAGTTTCCTCCAAATTCGCTGCTTTATGTACCTAAAGGAGGTGCAAAAATGCTTTAGGAGAAATCATGAGGCACGTGTATGCTTTTGAGGTGAGCTGTCTCCATATTGTTCCTTCTTGTTTCCCTCTTAGATGGGTCTATCCTTGAAGGGGCAAGCATTTTGGCAAATTGAATTACAGTAATGCTTGTAAAGATGAGAATCTTTCAGTACTTGATTATCAATGCATTTAATCACACAAAATTCATATAACTAAGAAAATCTCTGACTTGGAAGAGCTTCAGTCTCATAAATCCTGACTGTGACCAAATTTCAACATCCGTACAATAGACAACTATCATTACATCCAAGAAACTTCACATGCTATGTTTAAGCCACATCTGGATCATCAATCGGACTAAAATACCCTTTTCATATATGGATTAACAGTAGAAAACAGACTATACAATGTACAAAGATTATGTGCATTGTCCTAGCAGCACGTTTCCGAGTGGTTTCTCCGTCGCCTTAATTAACTAACCTCAAACAAATGGTGAACCAAAATGTTAAAATGTTTAATCCAAAGTTCACCAAGAGAAGAAAAATTAGTAGTCAATCGTATGAACATAGAAAGCATAAATACTCTCACATTAACAAATAGCTAGTACTCTGGACAACAGGAATTTGCAGATTGGTTGAAATGCCATTTAAGAATGCTCTATTATTCAATGTTGAAAACTGCTTTGGTTAAATAAAGTTCATCCTTGGCCTGTAGAGATGGAAAAACACGATAAAGCTCCATCTTGATTTTCTCGCCAGCGGGGCACCCAACAGATACAGGACCAAGGACCAAGGAACAACATAAAAGTAAAAAATAAATAATAAATGAGAAAAAGAATAATTAGCAAACCAAATAAACAAGCAAATCTTATACTGAGTTACTAACAGAGCAGCTACAAACAATTTCTGCACCTCATGTGCATTGAAAGATTCGCTAAACATCAAAGCATGAACTCCAAACACGTCAGATGGGAGAAAAAAGAGGAATAAATGTATAAGATAAATCAAAAGGAAATATCAGCTTCTAAGACCTAACCAAGTAATGTACAAAAACTTCTGCCGGCAGAGGAGTGATGACGTTCCACCAGCTGTTTTGCAAGGGTAAACCCGTTCCACAAAGAACACCACACATTAACTCTAGCTTCAACTGTTGGAGTGGGAGTTCAATTCTTTGTTTGAGCAAAGAAAAACTTGTCCTCTATGGACCCCTGGCTGTATAGCAGTGAAGCGATTCTGATTAATCTGGCAAATAATGAAGTGAAAGCTTCCAGCTGCTCCAAACACATCATAAGAGAGTAAAAGAATTACACATCTAGATAAACTTTTAATAAAATCACAAACTAGAACCAAGCCAACAAATGATTTGCTTAAATTGCTATGCATCAGGACTTCCACATTTCTTGCTCTCGTCTCTCACACTGTTTGCTCTACATTCTAACAGTCATACGCATTAACCTGTATGTATCTCCATGTCAATTCTTGCATCAACCAAATGGCCATGAAATGTGCACCGAAGGCAGTTGAGATAAGTCTTATCGAGAGGTATGCATGCCCCAGTGTAAAGTCAAAAGAAAACTTGCTTGACATCATTGGGCCCGAAAGTTGCACTACATCTTGGGCATTTTCGATGCTGACTCTTCAAGATATCTTGTACACAGGGATTACAGAATAAGTGGAAGCACTTGGTAATGACAACCTGAAGCGCCAAAAGAAAAGAAATTTTAACATGAAATGAAGCACAAATGAAAATAAGAGATGCATACAGAGATATGTAGAGCAAATTGACGTAATAAGAAAAAAGGAAATCTTGAAGAACATGAAAGTAGAAGATTCAATGTCGAAGCATGAACACCCGATACAACACACTTGTTGAATCAAACAAAGCAATTTTGATCCCCAAAACAATTGATTTTACCATCTACAACGTACTTATATTTTATAGGATATTCATCTACCAGTCACTTGCCAACGAAGATTTCCACATTTTGAACACTCATGGAAGCACATTAATTACAAGGACGTTACCAAAAATTTCCAACTTCCAAGTGAAAAAAAAATTTACCTGCTTTCTACTGTTGACACAAATTTTGCAATTCACTATCGTTTCATATTCCCCAAGTTCGCCATGGAGCCTTTCAACTACAGATGAGCTTTTCATCTGTGCTTCAAGCCGTGAAAACTTTCTGCCAACAACTTCTATTTCCTCTTCAATTCTTTTCTTCTCAAACCTAAAAAGTACTAACAATCACTAGCACGTTCTGCAAGAGTAAAAGAAACAGAAAAGAAGCAGAAAATATCCACACCTCTCTCTTTCTAGTTCTATCTGTAGCTCCACTTGAGTCGTTCGACTTTTTTCAACTTTAGATTGAGATTGATCAAGTGATTCCCTCATTTGCTGAGATGCTATTCTAATATCACTTAATCTTTTTTTAGTGTTTTCTAGAGTATATGTGTCTTGTAACTTGCCTTCTTCAATTTTCTGAATATGATCCGAGAAACCTCTCAACTGTTAAGAACAATCATACAACAATGATAAATAAGCAAATATAACACAATTATTCAGAAAGTAAATTACAATTCTCCATCACCACAGTTGACGGTTCAACATGATGATCATGTTACCTGGTCTTCAATTCTATCAGCTTTCATCTCGTAAAGTACAAGAGATGCATTGGCTTGCTGAACCTCCTTCTCAAAGGTTTGTTTCTCGATGAGCATAATCTCATGCAATTGCCTTGCTCTCACACCTTCTAAAACAAGCTGCAAAAACAGACATCACAGCATTGCATATGAACATCAAATAAATCTTAGAAGACAGTATACAAATTTATCCTCGACAATCTTCTAGTCTTAAAAGATGTAACAACCTTAATGTTGTACTCATCTCTCTCAGTTATTTGCTGCAACAGATGCTGGTTTTGAGTTTGCATATCGTCATATGCCTGCCCAATTGTCTGTTAAAGACTAACAATTAGATGACCGCAAAATGTTCAGAAGATAAAACAGTCAAAGTTCAGAATACAAGAAAGTTACCTCAATTTCAGAAAAATATGCCACATTTTCGTCGCCTTTAGATTTTACAACATCTGTTAATCGAATTAAATCCCTGAAAAATAAAGATGAACGCATGGTTTGAATCCTATGTGGTAATAATGTTGTAAGAGCAAACAACTTACAAAGCTGTCAAGTATCCCAGAATGGTATCAATCGGATAGCAAGAAAACATTAAAGTAATGTATTTGAAAACTATTCACACATCTCAAAAAGAAAAATGAACCCAATAATCTGGTTCCAGAGAGCAGAAGAGGAACAATAGGTTTCATACGTATAAATTTGAAACTAGCAAGGGATCTTCGAGGAATAAAGCAGTCAGATCAAAGTCCAACCTTTTAGACGATTCTAACTTCTGTCTTAGGCGTGCAATCTCAGCTTCTGCAGCAGCTAGCCTTTGTTGAGATATAGCCTCAGCTTCATTTGCAGTCTTAACACGAGATTCCAGGTTGCGTTCATCCAGAGAGGACTTCAAAGATTGAACACGAGCCCACGCCTTATATTCCAAATCCCTAGCTTCCAAAACATCCCTGCAGAAGTAAATTTCTAAGCACACACCTAATATTCGTACATGTCAACAAACTTCTTTCATTAAAAACATAAATGAGTAAGTACATGGAATACACGAGGTTAACTCAGCTCAGAGGAGATTGAGCTAGAATAAAACATTAGTACATTTCACGACTCCTTTAATTTTGTCTTCTTAGTATACACAAATGAGTACAGTGAAATAAAAAGGAGCAGAATAAGTTTGCATTTCATCCCTCAACTCTTCTAGTCCTCCACCACCTGCCCCCACCAAAGAAAGAGGAAAAAGGTACTTTCTACTTCGATAAAAGCAGGGGAGAGGGAGGCGCTGTTAATTCATGTGGTATTCTAGGGCTTGTGTGGGAGCTTCTTCGGAAGATAGATTTCTACTGTGACCTCTGTCCATAAAATCTTTCAAATGCTATCATCGAGTACCTTATAAAGGTTAAATTTACTATGGATTTAAAATCGCCGATAAGTCCATGATTTTAAAGCATAACATCACTTGAAAGTCCATGATAAGAACGCCTAAAATTGCATGATGCAAAATGAAAGAATCTAATGACATATAAAAAATAAAAAATAATAATAAATCACAAAAGGAGGCAAAGTAAAGAAAGGGCTTCAATCAAGTGAAACAAGACCTAAAGGGGTTATTAGAAAAGGCTTCACTACTGAAGTCCATGGAGAAATGTTGAATCTACTAAATGCCCAAATATCACTCAAAGACCTTTCAAGCTCTCTAAAAATTTTGTTGTTCTTCTCTCCCCAAAAACCCCACGAAATAGCAGACCTTGGCTTTCCACAAAAACCTTCCCTTCTCACAAAAGGGAGAGTGGAGAAGAAAATCTCGGATCATTTCTTTACAACCCCTACGACTACCAAAGCATAAGTCAAATTCCCTGAAGAAATGGCTCCAAAAAGGCTAATCAAAATCACAGCTCTAAAGGATGCAACACAATGGTCCAATCAAAATGGGCACCTTCCTTAAAACCCAATTCAAGATGTTACTTTTCCATGGAGAACGTGACAGGCAAAAAGTTCAACCTTCTTTGAAATTTTCGCCGACTACGAGTAGAGGCAAGGACAGGACCACCTGAGAGAGAGATTAACCAAACAAAGAAAGAAAGGTTTACAAGAAAAACCTTTGAAAGACTAGGACTCCAAGTACAAACGTCTCCTCTCCAAATATAACAGAACTCCTTGATCAAAGAAAGAAGGGCACAATATACACCAATTCCCTATTGAACAAAGAACGAGGCAAAACAACCACCACTGAATCCGAATGGTTATGATGTAGTAGAATTAGTGGTTAATTAGATATTACTCTTGGTTAATTCCTCTTAATATCTTTTAGTATTTTTTAATATTTTCTTTTTCAATCCTCTATAAATAAAGAGTTCCCCTCTTGTACTTTACACCTTTTTGATTGATAATAAAGATTCTGGTTAGACTTCTTGGAAAGAACTCTCCTTAGTCACTTAGATTACACCAAATTGGTATGGGATCAATCGTTTAGGCCAATGTTGGTAGTAAGAAACTGTTGTTGACACCAATCACAAAAGGGAGCTTTGTGAGTTGTGCTCATTGTTTAACAACTCACTTATTTACAAAGGGATGCCTTTTAGAGTATTTTCTTTTCTAGAAGAAAGACAAAACAACAAGCGCATTTACAAGAGTAGAGATTTACAACATAAGAAAGGTACCCAAGAGAAGATAAAAGATCAGTATAGACAAGAAAACCACAAATACATTCAAGAAGAGTGCTGGAATTCCAATGCTGCGATTCAGAAGATGAACTTCAACATAACAACTCTACTTGTGCTCAATTTATTCAAAGATCCTATCAAAATTTACATTGAAATTCCTATTCTAGTGACTATTGATTCCAAAGAAGGTCTTGAAACAAATTCCAGAATATTCAAGAAATTGCCAACAATGAAAATTTATAGCACGAGAAAGAAGTTGAAGGCCAGAAAACTTTCCGTTCGATGTGAATCCCACCTTGTGAAGGCAGTAATTGAAGGAAAACAGAACCAATGCTTGCAGTTGAAGGAAGTCAGAGAAGGGTCGATGGATGTTGATTGCATGTTGGGGAAATTAATTCATAATTTGGATCAATTTTCAACAAATCAACAAGTTTAATGCAGAGAAATATTCGACCTAAGCCAAGGTCTCATGGATCATATGAGAAAGACTTGAGAAAATATTGTGGTGAGGCCTCTTAAACATCAATTTTCAAGATTCTTAGACATCAATTTCCAAGATTCATGAATCATGATTATGAATGTTCGAGAAAATAAGATTGCCATGTTTTATAGAAGAATTATCCCGCATCCTTCTTGCAATCTTTATTTTCTTAGCCTTCGGATTATGCTAAGTTTCTTGTCTATTATAAATCAATTCCTTGTTTCTGATCTTTGGAGCATGTTGCTTATAATTGTTTAGATTGATTGATCGGTACCACAATGCATGGATTCTTTGGTGCTCTCTAGCATAATTCAAGTAAAATGAAAACCAAAGTTCAACAATATTTTTCAATATTATCAAAAGAACATTCATCAATGAAATTTATAGCCAAAATAATGACTGGTTTTGTTAGTAATTCTTCTCTGTACTACAAAATAAATATCAATTGAAAGCCATTTTAGATAGCCAAAGCGGTGCTTCTTCTAACAATAATTCATTGTGATGACATTATAGAATATCTTAACCAAATAGAGTGAATTTAGACCACCCTACCTCGATTCAGTTGATTCACGTTTATACATATCAATTATGAGTTTCAAGTCCCGACCAACTTCAGTGAAATCTTGAACCTGCATCAACGTTTAGAAATAGAACCAAAAAACAAGAGAAACAGATGTTTCAATACCAAATCTTTTGCAAATTACAAGCAGAGTGTGTGTGCATTGGGGGTGGGGGGATCATTGAACAATCTTCTACAATCATTTTATCAAACACATTAAAAGGAAGAAATGGTTTAAGGATAACTTGTAACAGGAAATAAGAAAGTTGTATTGGGACCACCACACCAGGACAAAAGGCCATTTGCATTGACAAATTGAATTTCTGCTACTTTGTAGAAAATTTGGTCGGAAAGAGGGAGGAAAAGAAAATCCCTTCGGGTGCCAATCGGTCATGGAAGGAAGTTTAAAGCTAGCATGGTTTATCATCAATGGAAGACAGAGAGGGAAGATTTATGCCAAACGGGGTGTTGGATAGGAAGATCCACTATCCCCTTTTCTTTTCATCATGGTAATCGACTGCCTCAGTCGCATACTGACAAAAGCGGAATATGAATGGCAGATAAAAGGTTTTCAAATTGGTAAGGAAGGCTTAAGCATCAACCACTTTCAGTCGGTAGATGATATAATCCTCTTTTCTGACTTGGCAGACGCCTCCTCCATAAAAAACATGATCGAGACGGTAAATATCTTTGAAGGATTTTCTAGACAAAATACCAATCTTCAAAAAAACAAAAATCATGGGCATCAATATTAGTACATACATTATTGAAGAATTTGCTAGCAAAAATGGTTGTAGAAAGGGAGAGTGACCGAATATGTACCTAGGACTACCTCTAAAAGGAAACAAATTTTTTTTTCCCTTATGGAAGACTATTATTGAAAAAATAGAAAGAAGGCTATCAACATGGTCATCATACTATACTTCAAAAGGCGGAAAGACGGACCCTAATACAAATCACATTATCCAACCTCCTCACTTACTACATGTCACTATTTGAAATGCCACAAAAAGGGCCCAAGGATATAGAAAGAATATTCATAAACTACTTGTGGAAAGATGGCCCACACCTTGTTCGATGGAATATTATAAACCTCCCACCAAAAAAGGGAGGCCTTGGTCTTTTCTCTATAAAGAAGAACAAAGCAGACCTCACCAAATGGATGGAGATATCATCACAAAGAAAAGGCCTTGTGGAGAAATATTATAAAGGCCAAATATACTCCTACATCAAACAAAAATCAACCCCCTCCATCTTCTACAAAAGGGCCTTGGAAGTACATAAAGAAACATCAAAACCTCATCACCAACCAAACTTGTCATAGGTTGATGAAGGAAGCACATCATTTTGGACCTATCCATGGATTGGAAACACTATGCTAGCCCTGCGGTATCCACTCTCTCTCATAGCAAAAAAGACACGATCAAAGAAATGTGGAATGTTCTCAACAAATTTTGGAACCGGAAGCTTGGTAGGAATTTAAAGGATAACGAAGCAACGAAATGAGCTGAATTAATCCTTGAACTTGCCCTGTGGTATTTTCAAACGAAGCAAACTCTCACTGACTTGACTTCCCAGTGCTGACGGGGTCATCTCTACAAAATCCTTAATGATGGACATGGGAGAAAAGTAGAAGCAATAAATCCCATGCTCGCAAAAACGGTATAGAAAGGACATCACCCTAAAAAGATGGAAGTTTTTCCTTTGGAAAATAGCGCTTAAAGGCATTAACACAAGTGAAAATCTTTAAAAAAAGGTCTTACGTCACTCTTTTTCCAAATTGGTGTTCATTGTGCAATTAAAAAATGAATCACAAAGCCAATTATTTATGCAAGGCACATATGCTCAGAATTTCTGGACAACGTTTCTCAATATATTCAAGTGGCATATCACATTTCCTAGGGAGGTAAAGGATGTATTGGACATAGCCTTAACGTACCACCCTTTCAAGAATGCTTATACAAAACTTTTCAATAATGTTGTTTACTAAGCTATATCTTGGTGTAAACTATTTAATATTTTACTTCCTCCACTTATACCTCCCTCATTTCAAATCGAGAAGGTGTTTTGTAAACACCATGGATATTAAATCCCTTTTGTAAATCTAAATCATCAATGAAATTGTCTCTTATCATAAAGCCCAACATCAAAAAGCCTCGTTATCATTTTTTAATAAGAAACAAGATGTATTATGCACAACAACAACAACAACAAAACTTGTCATTACTACTCGTCAATAAGATATCTATTTTTAAAGAGCACAGAAAGGGAAAGGAAAATCTCATCAGAAAGGTTTATCGTACCATAGCTTGCAACTTCTGTATCTCTGCAATTTGATCCTTGGACCGAGATGACAAACTTTCACACTCTTTCTCCTGCATCAAGCCAAAAGAAATGATGACAAGCGTTCAATTCTTTTCAAGTGTAGCATAATCAAACTCTACCTACCATTCTATCAATAATACTAGAAAGAGATAGCATGTCTGCCCGCACAGAATGAGCATTTGTAGCAGCTTCTTTGCATTTAAGTAACTGACTTTGCATAGAGCTCATTGCTTCTGGAAACGAAGAAACCAATGCCCTAAATTCTGAGACAATTTTTTTCCTTCCTGAAGAAAAAGCAATCCATCAGGATGCAAAAACCACTATAGATCAACATGGGTGGGCAATATATATTCTATGATCGGAGAAAAGCATTAAATACCATCCAACCTGATTCTTTCAATACTTCAGCCAGCTTACTCTCAATTGACTTTTTTTCATCCTTCTGTTTCTGAATCAGCATTTCTAGATCATTAATCCTTGTATCAGTGACAGTAGACGATCTCCTCAAGATATCAAGTATGTTATTTTTAATATTTAATTCCTTCTCCCTCCATGTAATATTAAACTTCTCAATCTGAAGTTGGCAAGAAATGTGTTAGCATAAAAAAAAACACACATAATAAATGGCAAATTCAGGCAATAATGCAACTACCGACCAGTTTACAACCTGTAGTTTCTCAAATAAAGCCTGCTGCTCATATACTTCTGATTTTAATTTTTCTATCCGATCTCTCAATAAAAGATACGATTGTGAAGATGAAATGGACTTCACACTCTTCATTCTATTCTGTCAATAACATAAATAAAAATTGTAAATCAGATCATAAATGAACCCTTGTGTTGAGAGTTTCAGGCTATCTCAATAAACATTCACAACTACTATAAGGAAACAGAGGACTAAATAAACCATATTTAAATAATTCCAACCCGGATATCAGATAACTGTTGCAGCATTTTTAGTCGTTCTTGATGTAGATTATTTAATTCTGCCAGTCGATCAACTGCCTGGTCCTACAGAGCAAAGAAACGGAGGGAAAAAACCTAACGTCTCAATATGAAATCAAAACATGGGGGGGGGGGGGGGGGGGGGGGGGGGNGGGGGGTGCGGTGATGGGAAATTACCTTCAACTCTTTGAGATAAGGTTCGTCTCGGAGATCTTTTTGTTTGTCTCCCACCTTACCACTGCCAGCATGTTTACCTGCTAGATTCAAAACAGGAAATCCAGCCCTTTTTGCAGCATCATGTTCAGCTCTAAGCTTCGTTAGCTTGGAATTGCTCTCTTCCAGTTCAGCCACTGCACTTTCCAATTCCACTTTGTACCACAAATAAAAAAATAAAATTAAAACACAGAATATACAGCAGATAATGATTATAAGAAAAATCTTCTCCTTCGGATCCTAATCCCTGTATACTGTGGATGGCATTCCCGTTTTTCTTTTCTGTGATAGAAAACAAATTATTTCGTTCGTTAAATGAAATTATAAGAAAGAGGAAAACCCCTTACATAGTCATAAAGTCTTAAAAAGAAACCCCAAATTGTCTTACTTCTCTCCAGACAAACTTCCCATAAAATAGCCAAGAAGAATTAAGCCAAAGAGTACATGTGCTCTATCATTAAATTTTGCCCACAGCTGAAGATAAGCAGACTTCAAACCCTCGAAATAAAAGGCAAAGTGATCCCCAAAGAGATTAAACGCCATCAACCAGAATGGCCAAGTGTGTAAGAGTTTTTGGAAATAAGGTGATGGCACTCCAACAATGACTAAAGGAATGAAAGCTGGAAGAATTTATGCTGTTGACTTCATCACAAGGTTGTAACCCTGAACAGCCCATAAGAAAATTTTGTATTTTCTGGGGGTCTTAGACCTTTCAAATAGCTTTACACATATGAGCAACACATGACGTGTACAGGCACATATATAGAAATCCCAAAAATCTCTCTCCAGCATGACTTTGGAAGACGACACAATATCTTAAGCGTATCTTAAGCACCCTATGTTAAACACCCCATAATACTTCACAAGCCAAATACCCCCTGTGATGGTCTCAATAAAATACTTCACAAGCCAAATACCCCCTGTGATGGTCTCAATCCAAATATTTCTAGTTTTAACTAGAATCTTTTGAGCCAGAAATTCGACCTTTCAGGCCATACACTGACTAATGCTGAAAGGTTCACAAAATGTCACAAAAGGGGAAGTACTGCCCAAAATGGTCCAAAGTTTCGTCACTATTTTTGCATACAATACACTAAGGAGGAGAATTACACAAATTTGGATTGTAGCTTTTCTGCCCAACACATTTAGCTTGCAATAAGACAAGTCAAAAAGAAGAATAAAGCTTAATCGGAAAATTTCAGCTTCAATATAAAACTAAGGTCAAGAACTTTACAGTTCAGATTATATGTTCGTATTTAATCTTATACCCAATAAACCTTCTATTCTCCCTATCATCAGCCACAGTAGCATCCTTTCATTAAGATTCCTCCTCAACCACAAATCTCAATCCGAAGCCATATTAAAAATGGAATCAAGGAAATCTCAGTCTACAAAGTTCACATCTTACAAGAACAAATTTTCCCTCTTGACTTTTTATATTTATCAACCACCTTATAAGCAGTAAGGATGGAATAAACACTCTTCGATGGAGCCTCCTTCCTTAGTGCTTAGAATAAAAGGTAAGAGCAGCCTCGTTGAAGGCTTCCTCATTGGTAAGGATAATAAGACAGTGAAATCTTGGGAAATAGGGAAGCAAGAATAAGAAAGAAACAGGGCAACCTTCTTTTTTGTTTTAAACAAGATGATCTGACAAAAGATAGTTAAAAAATGAGTCATATACCTTCAGCGCGCCATCAATAGACTAGGGAGTTCCAAGGCACACAATACTCTAGTAAAATTGCCTTGTATTAGGAGGCAGTGAAGCAACCTCTATGTACAAGAAAAATGTGCCACTAACATTTTCTTTCATATTCCTAGTATCAGGCCCCATCCCACTATTCCACTAGGAGACTTCAGAAGCCCTAAAATTGACTTCTAGAGACAATAAGAGTGTTCTTCCAAGAAGCACGTGGAAGTGAATCACCAAGGTGACACGAACGATGGCACATTGTTGCCAAAAAGTTTAGTACAAAAACATGAGAAGGAAACTATTAGTAAAAGTACTTCTAGTTTTAACTCAATCAGGTGGTAAACATTTCCAACAGCAAATGACAAATAATATGAAATGTCTAGAAGTTACCTTTAAAACATTTTAGCTCAGCTTTAGCTTTTGCATCTAAGTCCCGATGATTCTGCAATTCTTTAGCCAACATCTTCTTCTTAAACAAAAATTCCTTTACTCTCAACCTCATATTCCTTACTTCTTTAATCAAGTCACCAGATGCCCTAATCCTGAATGAATCTAACAAAACAACCAATGTTTATAGAGAACTAAGCAAGAAGCCAAATGGGATAAAGAATGACAGCAGATACAGATTATTACATAAGAATCCATGGACGCATACCATTTTTTGGGAGCTCATTCAACAATGTAGCATGTAAACCATCCTTCAGATACCAAAGATTTTCAATTGCCGCATCAATATTCTGCTTGATGATATTGGTCTTCTCACATGGTGATTCTGTTTCTTGTTCTATGTGCTTGGAAGAACTATATGTTGATGAACTTTGAGTAGCACCTGTTTCGGCAAGCCGACTAAGAACAGCATCTTCAAAGCTAGACGAAGATCCATCTACAATGCAATTAAGAAATATTAAATGTTCATAACTAGCAAAACAATGGGACCAAGCTATGAAAATGACCAGAGATTCTTAAGGTTAAAAGAGACAAGAAACCAAAAGAACAAGCAGACCATCTTTATTAGTCAACATCTTTTAACTATTTTAAGAACTCCAATTTGACTAAACATAAAAGGAGTATAATTACAAGAGGAATTGAAAAGCAACCACCAACAAGCATGAAACTAATATAAGTTTAGAACCTCTCCCCAGCTTGTGCTCTTCCCTGCGGGGAGAGAGAGAGAGCGAGAGAGGAAACAAATACTTCAGAGATGATATAAAATATAAGGATATTGGTTACTCTATACATGAAGATGTACCACTACCAGAGATAGTTGCAAAAAAGCTCTCCATTTAATTTCCTATACGGAGCCATTTACCATGCAAACAAGTCGGCTTTCAGAAAGAAAAAAAAAACGTGTCCAAATAACTTGCTCAAAATTTTCTTCGATCATGCCACCAGCACCCATAGACCAGGAATGTGAATTAAAAAAAGGACCAAAAATATATACTTAAGGACATACTAAGGAATTAAAACCAAAGCGGCCTATATTGCTAAGTTTGAGAACCTCAACTGTGATCTGTCTTTTGTAGCGGCTCCCCAGTCCCCAATCGAAAATATTAGCAATCACTAGTTCGTTGTTAACCAATGGAGATGAACTAATCAATTGAAAGAAGTTTTTTTTTTTTTTTTTTTTCATGAGAAGCCAACTTTCAGTCGGAAGAATCAAGGCAACCCCATTTGGAATATGCATGATCTCATGACAACCAAAATACTTTAATCCTCAAATTACAATATGCATCCTAAAACCTAGAGTTCCAATATTAGGTGGCAATGGAATTTATTGAAACAATGATCCATAACGCTGCTAAGTTCAAGTTCCAGAACCATTAACAGGTAAAATGGTAATTAATAAAATATAAAATGAAATGTTGGAAGCCTATATAAATAAACAAGATACCAAGAAAGAGAAAAACATCTCCAGAGGAAGCCATATAGTGAAGCTCCAGTTGTTGACATTGTGTTTCAGAACTTCAATATAAAAACCAAGCAAGAAACATAACAGTAAATGGAAGCACTTTATCAAACCAGAGACAGAGACGACATAATAAGTCCAAATACAGATGAAAATCCTCACCTGCAGCAGCCATTGTATGTTCGCCACCCTGCTTGCTCCTCCACCTCCTCATACGGACAGAAGATGTTTCCAATCCATTAACAAGCTGTCACAAAATGTATAAACTACATTTCAAGCAATGCACGAAAGATCACGTGGTATGTCCAAAAGATGACCAGTGAAAGATATAACACATACCTCTTCCCAACAGTTCTTAACCACAGCCACTGTTATATCATATGGTTCTTGTTTATCCTTAAATCGAGCATATTTATTCTGAAGAGATTTACTCTCTACCTTCTGAACCTCTATCTTCTGTGCAAGCTTCTGATTTTGGTATTGAAGAACAGTAACATCAAACTGGAAAGGAAATAAGGGAAATTTTCAGACCTAATTTTCAATTACCTAAATAGTAGTATGTACATAGATCATGAAGGAGACCATCATAGCCTTTATGTTGTCAGTTCACTCATTGGATGCAGACATTATGTTGATGGAGTCATTTCTTGATTTATATATCATAGCACGCCGTTTCACTATTGCTCTTTTTTTCTCTCTCGATTAACAGCAAATTAAGTTGGTAGAACCAACAGAAATCTAGCTATATACTTATTACGCCTTTTTCCACTTTATTATGAAATTTGATGGGTATGGATTACTCTTAACAAAAAGTGAAATTATTGAGAGAACAAAATGCCATAAATATTTAGTTCATAACAAATTTTTTCAGAAGTCTTATATAGAAAATAAGACTTTTAGTATGAGATGAAAATCCAGATAGCAGCACTAATAACCACAAATACTTGGAAATCAAACCACAAAATGCACCCGAAAACCACTACCCATGAAACCCAGCCTGAAAAGGTTAATATAATGTAAATGAAGAAAACATGAAATTACTGGAAAAACAACGTGGTTTCCAAACAAGTTAAGCATACTTTTTGTTTTTTGGAATCATTAACAAAAATGACAATAAAAATACCAATAAGCAAAGCTTCTCCAATATAAACAAATAGAATGAACCTGACAGCAAATAAAAAATGTAAACTATTCAAAAGATATATCCGTTGTTGAGAATCCTAAACCCAGCAAAGTTGGAGAACAAAACATCAATAAAATTCAACAAATAAACAGAATCCACAAGCCTCTTCCTCAGTTATTTCCTAAATTACATATGGATGCCCAATACAAACATGTCAATATTTGTCTGACATGCATGTGTATATAGACATTGCGGCATACTGGCAGTCTTCTAAATATTCAGTTTTATGAAATTATTTAAACTACGGAAATAGATGAACGTGAAAAAATTAATGACGGAAAATTATATAGTTGTACTAAACAATGTAGTATGACAAAGATTCATAATGAATGCTAATTATGAATTATGTCAATTAAAAGAATTAACATTTTCTCGATTATCTCTAGATTGCAGCACGTGATTCAATTGGGAACAAAAATACAACATCTTAAATTCTTTCATTATTCAAAATACAAATACGAGGTCACTTTTCCAAAATCACAAGCCATGTCAGGGAGAATGCATTCAACTGGAATTTGGATTTTCTTGTTCTCCGTACACCACTAAAGATAAGCACAAGTGGTAAGTGGCGAATTAGAAATCACGTAAATAGTGGCATTAGTTCATGACTTTCCTCCAAATTCTAACAAAAACCGACAGAAATATACATTGATTGCCTTATGATTGACTAGTAGATATAAAGTCCTGACGCTGGTATTCGTGAAAGAAATATGACAGCAAATAAAAAATGTAAATTCATTATCTGTAGTCCATGTGAGTTCAGGAAAAAGAATAGCTAAACATGCAAAGTAGTTCAATAACCGTAATATTCCAAACTGAAACCGCTGGCCAGGATGGGCCTACAAAACATAATTTCGGAGAAAAACTAGCTCAATTTAGTTAGAAATTAATTGACTGAATGGCATGAACCATACCTTTTTGTTCGCAGAGATGGGCAAGATGGGCGTCTTCTGGGCAGTAGCAGCCGTTGGGGATATGGTGCTAAAGTGACGCCGCTTTCTATCTGGACCGAAAGTGCTCTCCATCCCCCCTCCACAGGCCACAAGAGCCAAACACTAGGTCCACTCACATAACACCACTCCAAAGATTGATTAAGCGCCTGAAAACCCTAATTCAAAGGATCATGCCTCTAGAACATTATTAATTGTTCACTACCCCAATCCAAAACCCTCCCCGTGATGATTGATATATTCCTCCAGAAAATCCTAGAGCTACAAAAGTATCTACACAGGACCCAGCAACCAAAGCCCAGATTATATGGATCAATAAAAAGACGATTGATTCAGGCGCTCAAAACCCTAATTAAGACGAAAACCTCTCGAACGAATGAAATTCCAAAAACCTCCGATTCGTAGAATCGTTGGATGCGCCCTCGGCCGCAGTTCGTGTTGTGGTTCGTTCTATTGAGGGGGATCGAATGCCGAGTCGTGTAGAGAGGATCGAAATTCTTGGAAAGATATGAGGGCACTTCTGGAAACTGGAAATTCTATCTGCAACTGCAAATCGCAAATCCGAATTTGTTTATATTTGTCAATATCTTAAACAAAATTCCGATTTCGAGTGTAAAAATCTACTCATTATGTTGATGTTTAAAAAATATAAATTGATGACAAATAAATTAAATTTTAATAAATTCTCATGACCATTTAATTTTTCATTTTGAAATCTTGAAAAAAGATTTCAAAATTTTAATTTCTGATATCTTATAGTTGAGCGATGATCAAGTTAGTACTGTCGAACTAACAATAATAATTTAGTTTTGCGTGTGACAACAGCGATGTAACCAATAAAAAAAAATAGTTTAAAAACGTATTCGGCCCCGCTTTACATTGTTTTTCAATCTTTTCTATACAATTTTGCTGTCTATAATAGTCTCTAATTATATACAGAACAAATTCCATTGCTCATTACACTTGAGAAGAAGAAGAAAAATGAAAACAGAGGCGTTGTCAATGCTATCTATCATTCATCTTTACTCGTCAATTGGTGTCTTTTCTTTTGCCCAACTTCAACAAGCAATGTCAAAAGTGCCTCACACACCTGAGATGCATCTGCTTCTGACGTGTCGTTGTTGAGAGACGAGTAAACCATCCAGGCATGGTCTAGTTTACGTTTCGGATGCACGACTGTGGATCCGGGGACTTCGGCATCACGGCAAGTAACCAGTCCATCACTCTTCTCCTTATAACGGATCTGCAGCAGCTGAGCACAGGCTGCCATTGCAGCACCCAGGGGAATCACTACAGGGAGTTTTGCAGCTTGCGCGGTAGAGAGCGGGGCTGGTAGTTCGGCATGAGCAACACGAGACAAGGTGGCCAAAACAGCAGGTGAAATGCTGGCTTCGGTGTGGAATGATACCACAGGGAGTTCTGCTGGCAACTGGTGCTGCATTAGAAATTTCTTCCTCTTCTCATACGTTAAGTCTTCCAGAGCTTGCATGTCCCCCTACACAGAAAGCAAACAAATCAAATTTGAACTTTTTATGATGCATATCTGAATCCTTTTCCTTTATATGTCTCTACAGATAACGACCAGGTGGTTGATGGGACCAGCTTAACCCACTCACCTCCCAATCAAGATAAAGAACAATAATTGCTTCTACTCTCTCTTTCCATATTTCAGCAAAGACTTCCACGCCGTTCTAACAGCCAGATGGACTTGTTGTGGAACATAATTAACTTAACCACTTCAAGAATTATGATTTGGCAACCCAACTTTATAACATATACACTATACGAGTGTTGTGAGATCTCACGTTGGTTGGAGAGAGGAACGAAGCCTTCCGTGTGAAAACCTCTCCCTAGCAGACGCATTTTAAGACCTTGAGGGGAAGACCAAGAAGGAAAATATCGGATATCAGTGGGTTTGGGCCGTTACAAATGGTATCAAAATCAAACATCGAACAGTGTGCCAGCAAGGACATTGGTCCTCCCCAATAGTGGTGGATTGTGAGATTCCACGTCAATTAGAAAAGGGAACGAAGCATTTTTTATAAGGGAGTGGAAACATCCCTTAAGAGATGCATTTTAAAACCTTGAGGAGAAACCCAGAAGGAAAAGGTCAAGTACAAATCAACCAATCACGTTGACTAGCGAGCTTTGAGGGATCAAGTAAACTTTACAACCAACTCTCTAATGAAATTTAGGGGACATTAGCTTCACTCATGTATTCACAATAAACATCCATACTTTACTTATTGGTCTGTTTGGCTCTTTGCTTTTCCTTTCTTTACTTATTCTTCTTTTTAAACATCCATACTTGTTAGGTAAGCTGAAACTTTAATTCACAATAAGTGTAAGAATTTAGTCTATAAAGAGGGAGTCCATTTTTGCAAGTTCCTGATAGAAGAATCTCGAAAAACAATCTGCTTATGCATACCTTGATCAATTTACAGATCAAAATCTCCATAAGCTTCCGTACGTTCACATAGTCACCAAGCTGTCCTTCACGCAAGATATCAGATGCTATTGGAGTACCGCCATATGGACTTTGAGCTAATGCCAAGCCAGCCACTTTTTCTCTCAAATCAGACCAATACAACGATAAGGCAGCTGCTGCATCTACTCCCCCTTTGCTGTGCCCAAGAATCAATACACGTTTTCCAGCACCCCAATATATTTCTTCAACATACTCTTTGATCTCTCTTGCATTTTTCTCCACTGAAGCCTGATTATAGTTCTTTCATTGTTTAACAAGATGGGAGAAAAATTACATAAAAGGTAGAACTTAAAAGCAAACAAAACTACCTCACTATGAATCTTGGCAATATGACAGGCCAGACCCATCTTTGAGAATCTCGTTTTTGTATCAACAAAATACAGTGGTCCATGGTTGCTGAAAAGTCCTACCAGTTACATGAATTACAGCCGCCCAACCAGGTAAGTATGTTTTCGAGCAAGCAACAGGAGCATCGAAAATAAAAATAAATAAATAAAATGTTCCCTTACTGCTTGTTAAAATTCATTTACAACAAAGAAATCTAGGGCTTAAAGCTACGTCTGGGAGCCCAGATATTTACCTAAACCAGTAGGTAGGTCTTTGAGCAGATCTCACGTTAGCCCAAGATGAGTAAATGCTTGAGTAAGCTCAAGGAAATTGGAACTTCTTTTACTTGTTTACTATAGTGATTGGGGGGTTTCAGCATGTCCAATCACAATTCCATTTCGACACTTCTATAATTTAAATTTTGTTACAAAACCTAAAATATTGAAGATTCAATCCTCTCACTTTTAGTTCAACCACTTGAACAAACTCGGATTTTGTGTTTCCAAACCTAGGATTCGATCACTTAAGAAACTGACTTCAAGTCTACAATACTGCCCTTGGGCAATGGCATTTAGTTTGGCCAAATGATTGACAGATGTCCAATTCACATGCTACTGTCAATTATCAACTAATAAAATTAGGTTAACCAAAAATTACCTGGAACCAGCAAATAAACCACTGAATCAGGTAATTTGTGAATACCATGCCTGATAGAAAGAAAAGGGAGGCACAATTAAGTCTATGCCGGATAACTAGTAGAAAATCAGCGGCAGCTATCACTCACAGTACCTGATGTCTTCCAAAATTTCCACAAACCTCTCTGTTCCATCTTCAACCGGGGGCATTCCAGATGCCCTTTGAAGCCAACCGATATCATCTGCAGATCCACGTACTGTCCTCAGAGCCCGATCGATAAGGCTGAATGAGAATGAGCATTACAAATGAAATAAACAGAAAAGGAAATTAAGTTATATGTATCAAACTAAACATAAATTAGCCCAAACTTATAATTCAGAAACAGTACCCTTGGAAAATTGACATGCCGTTCCCACCAGTATTATTCGACAATTGGAGACCACTACTGTGGCCAGATGAATCTTCAACCGTGGTCCTTGAAACTTCAGAATGTACAGCAGGAGCTGCGATTGCAGCTTCGGGTGATTCAGAAACTATTGATTGTGCAGCACTAGAGTTTCGATCTCCACTGGTTGTGGCTGTCGTAGCTACAGGTTCTCCAGAAGGAAACGTCACTAATTCCTCTTCATATAAAGCAGAACTCCGGGGTTCTCTTGATTTAGGATCAACTGAGACCAAATCACCATAGAACTGTCACCAAATTAGAAATATACCCAAGAAAAATAATAAGAAGAATAGACAAGTCTAGGTAGCAAGAATGATTGGAAATGTAAAACGAGTGGTTATTAAAAAGAGTAAGACATAAAATCATTGGCACTTAGAACCAGGCATGTAACTCATACTAAAAAAGTAATTTACAAAGAAACTATAAAAAGAACCATAGAAGTAAACACACAAAGAATAGGATTTACCAGGAAATGGAGAATGAATTTTTATATAAACACACACACAAATGTACAAACAGGTTGTAGAAGGCTCTAAAAGTCAATAAATCAACAATCAAATAAACAAAATCTGAAAAGTTAGTAGAAGTTTCAAACCGAAGAAATCATTTAACATAGAAGAAATGTGCACAAGCAGGTAAATTCAAGGGCGGCAAAATTTTGAGAAATACAAAATAAGAGGGAAGTTAAATACCAGAACGATCAGACAAAAACCTAGTAAAGTATGAAGTTGTCTGTGCCACGTATGAAGCAGCGTCGTTCAGAACCGGTACAGAATTAAATAGTTTAGGAATAAGGCCCTCAGCCAACCCATCCTTCTCTGTCTGATAAAGAGGAATTGTTCAGAGTCATAGCGAATAATACATCAATCACCATAAAGTTAGTAACACAACAAAGGACCATATCCTATCCATCAGCCAAGGAGTTCACCAAGAGGACGAGCGTTTCATCATGTTTAAATACATAAAACAGCCATTTGAACAAAACAAGAATTGCATTTTCGAGGGAAAAAACAAATAATCCAGCATGTAGGCAACTTCAGACTTGACAAAGGAATAAAAAACATGACAGAAATCATTTAGGATTTGTATTCGAGTTCTTAAAGGCAATTATACATTATTTAAACCGCTTATGATGTTAAAGTTCATTTTGATGAACACTCTGCAGATTGGTTCCAAGAACTGATTCATCCATCAATGGAAATCCCAATTTCCTTTCCCTTAATAGTTATCTTCACTACTTGCCCTTCATTTGCATCATTTTTTGTCACAAAATTTAGTATTTCAGTGAATGAATCATGCCCTACCCTTGTCTGGTTCTTCAATTCGAAGCTTCAAATACTTCAATTTAGAAACACGAACACTAAACATTTCTAAATCTACAAATACTCAACTGCTAAATACAATAAACTCCTCCGAAATGTTCCGCATAAACTCAACAGTCTCAAGCAGTTGATGATATGTACGAATACAAAAAAATCCTCAACTTCTCGTCTAAGAAAATTCCATAAATGACGCAAATTGCAGCAAGGAGGAAACAAGAACAATTCAAATAATCAATAACTAACCACAGATGGATTGCCTGATTCCCCTCTTCTCGTGTCCCCACCTTCCCTCATCCTAGAAAAGTGCGCTTTCGTCAATTAACCGCTTGATTTCGGCTGACGAACTAAGAGGATTATTACGCAATGGAAACCAGAAAGTGGGGAAGGATCAAGATCGAGGATTGTAGGCTGCCGTGAGGTAGTGATTTACGTAGGAGGAAAGTAAATGGCTTGGAGAGGCCTGTGGTACTCTAAAGATTGCTTTGTTGTCGATACTATACAATTAAAACTGTGTTAGATATTAAATCTTCAAAATTTAATACTAAAGTTTTTATAGATAAGAATATTAATTGTTTGACAACGTTTAATATTCAATGGAAAAGATTGTTGAATAAAAAATTTTATTCTAAATTTTAGCATTTTTTTTACCATATTTTGTAAATTTTAGCATTATGTTTTGCTCGTAAAAAAACTTCTCATATTTTGCAAGATTTTCTAGAATTTCGATGTATTGATGAAAATATTCATAAAGTGCCGGTGTCAATGGATAATTATAAATAAATTATAAAACGAACGTTGTATATATAATAAATAAATATTTTACATTTTTTAAATATGTTAAAATACATAACATGAGATTTATGAGAGTTCTCGAAAAACATGCAAACTTAAAAGAACGAACACTTCTAAAGCGGAGTAAAAAGTTCAACGGGCTAAACATATAGTTTTGAGTTTTCAACCACGCTCAACTCAATGACCCAAGATATTTTCTAGCGTTTTTTAGAGAGTTTAAAATGCACGTATAGGTCTCTAAAGAAACCAATATCTGCGCACATGTAAAATTCTTAATAAACTTTAGAATCTCGAGTCTGATAATAGTATGCGTATTTGAAACGAAGTTCTAAATTGACTCACTTATGACATACCGAACCAACATTTTTTCGAACCGAATCTACCGATTAGAGTCACAATTAGCACTTATTTTGATTCACAATCCAACCATATTTTAATCCAAAGCATAATAGTAAGTAAAGAAACACATTTTGTTTGCTGCATATGGCAGAGGTAGAGGAGAAATCAGAGGCTACGAATGAGAATGCCTTCAAAAGTAATGCCAGGTCCAAACGCCAAAGCCAGTCCCCATTCTTCCCCCTCTTCTCTCTTCAGCTTTTCCCTCATCTTCTCAATGACATAGAAGATAGTGTTGCTGCTAACATTCCCATAGTCCATCAACGCCTTCCGGCTGCATTCAAGCTTATCACTTTTCAGCCTCAGAGTGCTCTCCAGTTTATTCAGAATCGCCGGCCCGCCGGGATGAACTGCCCAGAACAACTCATTAAACTCCACCAGCTTCCCCTTTCCCATCAGCTTTCTACAGAACTCTTCTATGTTCTCATCTATTCTCTGTGGAAGATCTCTTCCAAGTATGAAATTTATACCCTTTTCAGAAAGTCTTCCATCAATCACATTGTGGGTGTCTGGCAGGAATTGCTGGATGGCATAGTTCAGCTCCATGAAAGGAGATTCTTGCCCCAACACAGGGTCTGCTCCGATAATCACGCCTGCAGCTCCGTCGCCGAAGAGTGCAGCCCCAACTAGGTCGTATGGGCGTTCGTTGTTTGGGGGACGAAATCCAAGTATTGTAGTTTCGGAAGTTGTTAGTAGAATGCGGCTTCCTGGGTTGTTTTCTGCAATGTCTTTGGCAACTCGGAGTCCAGTGACACCGCCGTAACAACCTAGAAAATATAGCATCACTCGACCAACATCATTCTTCAAACCGAGGCGATTCGCAATGTAAAGATCCCCACCAGGTAAGCGGATTTCGCTAGAAGAAACATAGACAATGTGGGTGATATCTTCAACAGACCTCCCCCATTCTTTGATACAAGCTTTGCTAGCTTCAGTGGCCATCTCAACAACTGCAGGGTTAGCAATTTCCAACCTCTGTCTGATTGTTGGTGAGCCCTCAGTGACAAGCTCAGGATACTTATCCAAGATTTCCTTACACATGACAGTGTATCTTGTCTTCACAGTGGTAGTTTTACCTGAAATGAAAATAAACAGAAATTTGCTTCAATCTCATAATGCTGCTACGAAGTAACAAAGAATTTATCAATATATTCAAGGTGACGAAGTTTTGTTTACATAAACGCTCCAGTTTTTCTTTTATAGTTGCGTCTACGCATTTCGTATCGCGAATGTAGCCCTCAACCAAGCATTCTTGAGGAACAAGTTGGCTAGGAAATGCTTTGCCTATTGCAAGGATTGTTGCCTTCCCAGGCGTTGGAACACGCCTTGCCCGAGCATGATCAAGCTTAGCCGGGCCTTCACAACTCATCTTTGACATATTTGGGAGCTTAAATGAGATGTGTTTGTAGCCTTTGTCAGTAAATACCTGAATGAAACCTATCACAGAGTTTGAAGAATTTAAATGGGCCATTAGCTACTTTTCTTGGAGAGAAGTTGGTGATCACTTAAAACACTCTTTTCCCCATTTTTCATAAACCATAAAACCAAATCCCAACTTACTATCCACACCCAACAAGCATGACATAGAACCCCCACAACACATGCCCAAGAACCTCGGTGTTTTTTCTTACTAACTTCTCTCCCCATATTTTTTTATCACGAAACGTCGCAAAATTTTACGATAGTTAAAGCCATCTTTTCCATTGTTTAAGAAAGTAAGGTTGCTCAGGTTATACAGCTTTCCTGACAGAAAATTCCAGGTTGGATCCTGGACCAAGCCATCTTGAAGTTTTCACACCCAGTGTGGATCATAATCTTGTTTTGAATCCGAGGCCGCGGGCAAACTAATCAGCCTACACCAGCAACAAATTACTTCCAATTCTCCTGAAAAGGGAAGTAAGTGTATATCATTTAGATAGTAATAATGGCAGCATGGGAGAGAAAATTAAGTAAACAATCGGGAAAATCCGCTTGGAAAAGGAAAAGCGTGTCTACCGTGTTAATGCCACCAATCACCAAATTCCTGAGAAAGAACCAAGTCCCATTTGGTCTATCCCAACTCCTTATAACTTCAGCGAGCTGCTTGAGAAAACTCGTAGTCCCCTCGACCTCATTGGCTGATGATTTAACCAATAGCATTATCAAAAGTAACAAAGCAAGTTTGCAAGAAGACCGAAGACAATCGAGCTATACAGAGAAAACAGTGTACAGTGGAATCTTATCATTTCCCTCTTGGCTTCTAACTTTTGTATTTCAGCTGTGGTTCCATCCTTTTTGATACGAACTCGGCCTCTTCGAATTTCCCCCCAGTCTCGAGAGAAACTTTCAGCTGGTTTTGACAACTTAGCTGTTGGTGGACTCCCATCTCCACCAGTTTATAGTACAGACCAAATGCTTCAGACAACTTATTAATATGACAAAGGTGAAAAATTACCGTACTACAAACATCAATGTCGACAGCTTGATGACTCTCTAAACTAAATAGCAACATTTTAGATGCCTCTATAACCTTTTTGCAGTTGCAAAGAAAAAGAATTAGTTCTTCCATTTTGACCGAATAGCCATTTCCATAAAGCATACGAACAATTTGGAACGCTTTGTCGTTGATTCCGGCTTCAAAAAGTAGTCTTATGCAACCAGTTGAAAAACCGAGATTTTGTCTAATATTCTGGTCTAACATTAACTGTATAAGACTAGCAGATTCAGATGCATTTCCTTGTTCTAAGAGTTTTTCAAGTATAGAATGAAAAGTAGATGATTCAGGAAGATGGGAGCTCCTCAGCATCTTTTCGAGTGTCTGAAGGGCAAGAAGTGGCTTATCCGTGTGCAAAAACCCATTAATTAAAGATTCGTATACCTCCATATCTGGTAAAAAATCTTTCCTCAACATTAAGACTAGTAGCTCATACCCAGATTCGAATGTACCTTCGTTACAATGCCCCATGATCAACGTCTTGTAAGATGGAGGGTCTTGTGTTCCTCTTCTCATTAGTTGCCTAAACACTGTTTCAGCTTTCTTAGCCTTTCCATTTTCACATAAATACTTCAAAATGGGGTTATACGCAGCGACAAGAGGCTTACAACCATCATCACTTAACAAGATTCTTTTCTCTAATAGTTTATCTAACAAGTTCTCAGCCTTCTCATAATACTTCCCTTCACACAAACTTCTAATCAATACACTATATGTAGCCGAATCTGGTCGAAGCTTTAACTTCGTCATCCTCTCGAACACTCTCAAGGCTTCGTCCAAGTTTCCTGCATCACAATGGCAATGCATCAAAGTGTTGAATGTGCATGTGTCAGGAGAAAACGTTCCATCTACTGCTGTAGCCTCCAATATCTCCTTTACTTTCTCGAATTTCTCGGCTTCACAAAGCCCCTTAATTAAAGTATTGTAGGTTATGTTGTTTGCTTTCAAGCCTAGATTGACCATTTCTTCGAAAACAGCTAAGGCATTGTTAATCTCTCGCTTCGCACAGTAACCTCTAATCAAAGTTGTGTATGTAACAACATTGGGATTCAGATCCACGCTTTTCTTCCCCATTGCCTTTACCACATTATATGCAATGGTAAGCTTACCTCCCCTGCACAACCCATCAACAAGTGTGTTATATGTGATAACATCCGGTTCGCAACCAAAGCGAGACAAGTCCTTGAAAATTCTAAAACCTTCATCAACCATGCCATTCATACAAAATCCTCTAATCAAAATGTTGAATGTAAATGTATCAGGAGTCACTCCATAAGTACTAAGCATTTCATCATACACGTTCTTCGCCATATTAGTCCTGCCCCTTTTAAGCAAAATAGTCAAAAGACTATTGAATGTAACAATCGATGGGGAAACCCCATGTGATTTCATCGTCGTAAAAAGGTTTATAGATTCTTGAAAAAGTCCAGCTCGACTAAAGTTCCTCATTAAGCTATTGAAAAATCGGGCTTCGAGTTTGACTGCTCCACGAGAGCGTTTTTCGATCGAAAACAGGAAATTCCTAGCCGTATTAAGATGCCGATTGCGACCCAAAATTTCTAACATCGAGAAGAAGGATTGTTCAGTGTGAGCGTAACCCATTTCTTGTGCCCAGTTGAAGAATTTTAGGGCTTTAGATGGGTCTCTGAGGAAACCTAGAGTTTGAAGAACGGTGGTTTTAGAGAGGGAGGGTGAGAATGAAGCCAGAGATGACTCAAGGTCATTCGACCAAGGTTTAGAGTTGATCATCCGTGCCATGTCTCTCGCCTTTTTGGTTTTGTTCGATGATTTGGTTTCCGCCTCGGTTAG